CAAAAAAGGAACTTCACGTGAATAAACAGGAATTTGATTATATTATTATCGGTGGTGGAAGCTCAGGCTGTGTGTTGGCTGGGCGTTTATCAGAAAACCCGCAAGTTTCTGTTTGTCTACTTGAAGCAGGGGGGGCAGGTGAGGGTTGGAAAGTAGAAGTTCCTTGTGCAGCAGTGATTAGCATTCCAACCAAGATCAATAACTGGGCCTTTGAAACTGTACCGCAAAAGGGCTTAAATGGTCGTAAAGGCTATCAGCCTCGTGGAAAATGCTTGGGTGGCTCGTCAGCAATTAATGCCATGGTGTATATCCGTGGGCATCGACAAGATTATGATGATTGGGCAGCCTTAGGCAATACTGGTTGGTCATATGATGAAGTCTTGCCTTATTTTATTAAGTCTGAAAATAACCAAAGAATTAAAAATCAATATCATGGCAATGCTGGACCACTTTCAGTTATTGATTTACGCAGTGATAATCCCTTACAGCAAAAATATATCGCAGCCGCCAAAGAGCAGGGTTATCGAATTCTGGATGACTTCAATGGAGAAGAGCAGGAAGGTTTAGGCGTTTATCAAGTGACCCATATCAATGGGGAGCGTTGTAGTTCCGCACGGGCTTATTTATTTCCTCACCGAGATCGTAAAAATTTAACGGTTGAAACCCATGCACAGACTCAGCGAATCTTGATTGAAAATGGCGTGGCTGTTGGGGTGGAATACAAGCAAGGTGGTCAGCTGAAACAAATCTTTGCACGTCGAGAAGTGTTATTGAGTGCGGGAGCGATGCAGTCGCCACAGATTCTGATGCTTTCAGGTGTTGGCGACCAACAAGAACTTGCGCAACATGGCATTGAGGTGAAACAGCATTTACCTGGTGTAGGTAAAAATTTTCACGATCATCCTGATTTTATTTTTGGTTATAAAGTCAGTGAAATTCAAGGCACCTTTGGCTTATCTATTCCAGGTTCAATTGATCTATTTAAACAAATTAGGCGTTATCGTAAAGAACGCCGTGGTTTGATGACTACGAATTTTGCTGAATGTGGCGGCTTTATTAAAAGTTCAAATGAGCAAAGTCTACCGAATTTACAATTACATTTTGTGATTGCACTGGTGGATAATCATGCACGAACGATGCACACAGGGCATGGTATTTCCTGTCATGTCTGCCTGCTCAATCCAGTCAGCCGGGGCTCGATTAAGATAAGTGGGCCAAGTATCGATGATCCTTTATTGATTGATCCGAATTTTTATGGTGAAGAATCTGATTTAGAAGAAATGGTTAAAGGCTTTAAACTCACTCAGAAATTAATGCAATCCGATGCTTTTAAAAGCATGATTAAAGAAGATTTATTTACAGCTACAGTAAAAACAGATGAAGACATTCGTCAAGTTTTAAGAGATCGCTCAGATACCGTTTATCACCCTGTGGGAAGTTGTAAAATGGGGGTAGATGATATGGCTGTGGTTGATCCACGGTTACGCGTTTATGGTATTCAGAACCTGCGTGTGGTCGATGCGTCAATCATGCCAAAAGTGGTGAATGGCAATACCAATGCCCCTGCAATTATGATTGCAGAGAAAGCGGTTGAGATGATTAATCAGGACCAAGCCAGTGTGGCGTTTATTGAAAAGAAAGACAAAGTGCGTGTTGCAATCTGAGTCTTTAGATATTTAAAAAATCAGTGAGTGGGCATTCAAGCTTAAATAGCCCAATAAAAAACGCCCTTCATTTAGGGCGTTTTTTTAATTTTTACATCAGATTTAAATTCTTATGCAGATTTTTTAGCTTGATCTTCTAAAGAAGCAAGCATATGGCCTGTTTCTTCAAAGTTATAGTGCCAAGAAAGTGCTTCGCGAAGAATATGCGGTGTTTGACCACCTTTTTCACATGCACGATCAAAGTAATCATTTAATGCATCACGATACATTGGGTGAGCACAGTTGTTGATGACCGCACGAGCACGTTCACGAGGCGCTAAACCACGTAAGTCAGCAAGACCTTGTTCAGTCACAAGAATATCAACATCATGTTCCGCATGGTCGATATGTGAAGCAAATGGAACAACAGAAGAGATGTCACCACCTTTTGCAATCGATTTGGTCACGAAGATTGCTAAATGTGCATTACGTGCGAAATCACCTGAACCACCAATACCATTCATCATCTTGGTACCGCACACATGGGTCGAGTTAACGTTGCCGTAAA